CACTCCAATAGTATGCCATGGTTCTCGAACGATGTGCATTTGTAATGGAGAGTTCATTATTTGATTAGAATATTTGAATTTCTGACATGACTGACAACTTTGAATATACTGAGTGACATCTTTTCGCATAGTATCCCAGTAGACTCGGCTTGAGAGACGATAAAGAGTTTTTTCTCTACCACTATGTCCGGCTGTCGGATGATCATGTGTCCAAGATAGGAGTTCTTGTTGCATAGATTTCGGAATAACGAGTAAGTGAGGAAGTCCGACTGATCGTTGATAGATATTTTTTGATGGAGATCGACATTTATAGAGAATACCGTTAATTAGAGTAAAAGAGGAATAGAGATTATTAATGAAGGGATGACTGAGACCTGATAATTTATCAATGATAATATGAAGGTGAGGGTCTTTATATTGTTCGATTCGGATATTTTCGAGGAGAGTACAATTGTCTCAAAAATTGAGTGTAGATGTAGGTGTTGTTCCATTTAACACAGCTAGATTAGGGAGAGGATAGCGAGATAATGAATCAGAGTTTGTATTTGTTTTTCCTGGTTTATATTTGATGCTAACAATGTTAAATGCTGATAGACTTATTGCCCATCGAGCTAATCGTCCAGACGAATCTTTTGTTTCAAGAAGCCATTGTAGTGCCCTACAATCAGATCGAATATAGATTTTTGTACCTTCTAAATAGGGCCGAAAATGTTTGGTGGCCCAATAAATAGCTAGAGCTTCTTTTTCTGTAGGAAAATAATTTCTCTCAGCTGCTGTTTGAGTTCGGCTAGCGTAAGCGATAACAAATTTTTTATTATCATATTCTTGAGTAAGGACAGCACCAAGACCATAATCACAGGCATCTGTTTCCAAAATGAAAGGTTCATTAAAATTTGGAGCTCGAAGTATAGGAGCCTGAGTAAGTGCAGTTTTTAATCGTTCAAAGGCTATAGTACATTCAACAGACCATTCTATGTTATTTGGTGGACGTTTAGATTTTTGATGAGAACGTATTTTAGCGTAATCTTTTATAAATTTTCTGTAGTATCCAGTTAAGCCTAAAAATGATTGAATGTCTTTTAATCGTGTAGGTTGAGGAAAAAGTGTCACGGAGTCGATTAGACCGGGATCAAGTTTAATACCGTCAGGAGTAATAATATGTCCTAAGTACTTTAATTCTTTTCTACAAAAATCACATTTTGAGGCTTTAAGAGTAAGTCCAGCAGTTTTGAGACGATCAAAGACAGAGGATAAATCTTTAAGATGTTGTTCAAATGTGGAAGAGAATACGACAATATCATCTATATAGACAAGACATGACTGCCATTTTATTCCAGCTAAGATAAGATCCATTAATCTCTGAAATATGGCAGGAGCATTAGACAGTCCAAAAGGCATGACTAAAAATTCATAGAGGCCGCGATGAGTAATAAACGCTGCTTCCCTGAGTGAATCAAGGGTATCGTCAACTTGAGGCATAGGATATGCTGTACGAATTGTATTAGCATTCAACTTTCGATAATCAACACAAAATCTGAGTGTACCATCTTTTTTAGGGGATAATACGATTGGAGATGCCCAAGGACTATGTGAAGGAATAGTATGACCAGCTTGGAGCATCTCTTCTAGTTGTTGATCGACTATAGCTTTTTTAGATGGGGGGAGACGATATGGTTGAGTGTTTGCGGATTGTGTTCCTGGTTGAAGTTCGATTACGTGTTTAACAAGATGAGTCCGACCAAGTTTCTCGGTGAAAACTTGTGGATATTGTTTAATAAGTGTAACTAGTTTAGCTTTTTGAATATCGTTTAAGTCAGAATAGGATAAATCAGGGAGACATATTTGTTCTTCTTCAATATGATGAGGTGTATGAGATAATCTTGATATGCTATTCAATTGATGTTCAGTCAATAGTTCCATAACGGCTAGTTTTTGTTGAGGATGAACCTCGACAGAATCATGAGAAAAATTTGAGATTTCAATAAAAAGTGATTTACTTGGTGAGATAAGACCATTCGCTACACGAGGATTTTCATGAAGTGAAGAAACGGAATATGTTTCATCTGGAGAAAATTTAGAGAATGGTTTCGTAGGTTGAACAGGGATAATCATAGAGTGGTATGGAGGTAAAGAATGTGCTTCAATAGCTGCTAAAGAGTATGATGACGAATTGGAAGAGGTAAGAGAAGAAGTGTTACACTGATCGAGAGATGGCGATTGAGATGCAAAATAATTTGTATCTTGTGACTGCTTCGGAAAAATAATTTGATCGTGTGTACCGCCGACATGAATATCATGTTTTCGTAAAAAATCCAAGCCGATGATACAGAAATGTTCAATTCGAAGAGACCGTGTGTACGTAAAGATTGTCCATTAGCACAACGTACTGTTAGGGATGGAGATTTAATAGGGATAAGTTTGCATGACTTTTGCTCGATTTGATGAAATGCCTCAACACTAAGTACAGTTAAATTCGAGCCAGTGTCAATAGTAAATTTTGTTGGGTACCCTTCTAATGTACCCATTGACATGTAATAGTTGGGAAGAAGAAATGAAAGAATTATGGATAGAACTAATAGAGAGAGAGAGAGAGAGAGAGAGGATTTTTTATTTAGATAATTTTCGGAGTCCCGCCACCTCCCATCAGTAAGACTCCGTCTTAGTTTTTTGAATTTGAAGGATATCTGGAAGATTGAGTACGAGTACATTGGGATGCTAAATATCCTGGAATATTACATTTATAGCAGATAATATGAGATTGACGAGAATTAGATGTGTGGAAGCGAGTTGACGAATGAAGAGTAGCTGAAATAGTAGTATTAGATTTTTCAATATGCACATTTTTTTTTTGGAACGAGAAAAATCAATAAGTTCAGCTTCTCGGGCTCGCTCAAGAAAATTTTCAAGACTAGGATCGCTAATGCAGGTCGAATTTTAGTAAAAAGGTGTCTAACAAGATGGCGCTCCGTTTCGTTCGGTTTGTGTTCTGACCAAAGACTACGTAAACGAACGAGAAATTCGTTGATTGATTCATCAGGTCGTTGAATGCATCTATTCCATTCTTGCTCGATTTGAGTATACCACTCAAAAGCAGTACCTTTCAAAAATTGGCCCATATTTTGAAGTAACATTTCTTTGTTACATCCATAAGATGAGTTGGTATATTGATGGAGTTGTAAGAGGGATGGACGTGGTTTTTCTTCAGTTTTGCCTGAAAAAGAAGGAGCTATTGTAGGTTGTTGGATGATGACTGTTTGTCGTACAGGGAGAGAGAGAGTAAGGTGTCTTGTGGAGAAGGACCATTTAGTAAAGAATGAGAGTGTATGGAGTTATTAGAAGAAGAGGGAGGTAATGTAGTTGTTGGAGACGGTACGGATGGGGAAGTACGAACAGCAGCAAGTATTGCACGAATTTCAGCCGTTAATTCGGATATTTGTGTAGAAACATAAGTACGAAAGTCCTGAAATTGAGTATCTAGGTGTTGAATCGTGTCATCTAATTGCTAACATTTTAATTCATGAGCCGTGGAGAGATGATTTACTTTTCTCATTGAAATTCTGTTCGAATTGAGTTACTGTGGACTGTACGGTGGTCAACGTGGTTTCGATAGAAGTTGTGCGTGTTGCTTTAAGTTGTAGTTCATCTCGAAGACTAGTGAGATATTTATGTAATTTCTAACCGTCAGATTCGGTCATAGTTAAAATAGGATCGTGCTAACGTAAGACAGAAAAATAGAAGACTACTAATAATAGTAAAAAGAAAAGAAAAGAAAAAAAAACCAAAGAACAAGATGAAAAATTTAAAAAAAAAGAAAATAATGTGCTGAAGTGAAGGGAAAAATGTAACCAAAATTCGATTGGTGTGATCACCACGTGTGATGGAACGACTCACTCGTTCTGAGATTATTTCAATAATGAAAATAACGATAATATATGAACGCAGTATATATATTCCAGCAGAGAGAGAACAACGAGAGAGAATGATTAATGAATAGAACATTAAGAGTAGTGACGGGTAGAATCCGTCACAATGGTCATATGAAAATAATCGATCTAAAGAACGATAACAGATAAAAAGAAATAATATAAATTTCGAATCGCTTCATTTCAGTGTAGATACATGAGGTGGATTGGATTTTCTCTTTGTCTGTTTTTTTTATTCTACGTAGTCTAGTTATATAAGAATGAAAAAAAGCATTCATTCGTTAGAATATTTTTATTGTCAATTGTATCCCATGTTTTCTATATATATATTAGTAGAACAGAGAGAAATATATTCTAGGCTATAAGATATAAGGAAAATAATCAATGATTGTGTGCTAGTATGAATTTTTTGATTTTAATTAAATAATTTTTGAAAAAAAACCATAAATAGTGATTGAACAAAAATATCCAGTTTGAGTAAATTTTTTCGACTGTAAGAATTTTTTTTAAAGCTATACTGATTTAAAATGATTTATGCTGAGTTACAATGAGTTAAAAGCTCATTTAAAATAAGTTAAGATGATATAACAGATTTAATTTTGAGTTTTTAGCTGATTTAAATCAGTCGGTTCCCCCCCC